GTTCAAGAAAATTAAGTTAGAGGACCTGACATGGTAGTCTGTCAGCTAAAGTTCTCACCTTGAATGTGCTGAGAGCCTCCTGCTGTGACACTTCCTGGGCATATGCAGCTCCAGCCTGTGGCAGCTGCACCCCTGACTAGCAAGGGATTACAGGGGATGGGTGCTGCATTCCCTTGGTTTGGTGTGGGTGCCGTGCCACTGGCAGGTGACCCCAGCCTGTGTCGCTTACCCTGAGGCCAATGCACTACTCCATGCCTAGTGTGGTCCAGGGCTGGAATGAGAGCTTGGCCAGGGTGTGGTGGGGAGCTGTGTGTGACGAGACTGACGCTATGGGTGCAACTGCACAGGGAGCAGGTGACCAAGGGCCTGCCTCAAGAAAAGGGCCCCTTTCTTCTGCTGGTGCCAGGGAGTGAGACCTCAGCTTTCCCAGAGCCATGAGTGGCTGACGGTGGTGGAAAAGGGCTCATGGGGTCTGGCTGTGCTGTAGGCACCTGCAGCGTGAGGAACAGGGCCCTGTGGATGTGCCTAGACCCTCATGGAAGGGCTTGTTGGAGCCATGCTGCCTGCCATGCATGGACCGACCTGGTGCCATACAGGTCCAGAGAGGACCTGGAAAAGACACGATGCTATGTGTGCCTTTACCAGCCTGCTGAGATGGAGGGATGGAGGCCCACTGGGACAGAGGCCTGATGGGCAGCAGCCTGACTATGTCTGCCACAACGGCAGCCACTTTCTAGTTCTGAAGGCTGTACGTCCAAAATGGGAGGGGCTGTGAGAGCTGCTGTCTGGGAGAAACCTCATCTTCCGTGTGTAACGCCAGATGTGGGTGAGAAAGGGCAGTTCCCCCTGCTTCCCCAGGACATGGCCTGCAGTCCCTCCTGCCCAGCTGCATGTGCAAACACAGACACGGTGGGGAGCAGGACTACAAGCTGGACGCTAGGGCCTGTTTAGGTCATGCCGTACCTCGAGTGGACACAGTGTGTGTTTAACACGGATGCCAGGGCCATACTGGAACATAGTGGACAAGTCTGTGACACTTGAGTGGCATGCAGCTTGGGGAGCTTTCACAAACCAGGTCATGTGCTGGCGCAGTCGATGCCCTGATCCAGGGAGTGCTCTGTGCCCAGATCATCCTCCCCTGAAGGTCACAGGAGCCCGGCTGCCTGAGCCACCATGGCTGTCTCCCAGGTGTGTGTCAGCAGGGGGCTGGAGTCAGGAGCCGGCTGGGATCCCGCTAGATACTGCAGTGGGGTGTGGTTGTCTTCACCACCCTATTTTACTGTGAAGTGTCAGTGTCAGTTGGGCAGTTTCATCTTATGGACTTTTTGGGTTTTTAAAGTGGGTTTTAGATACAATCCTGAACCGACTCCTGGGCTGCGGCTCGCCTTCTCATCTGCTGTCTGCCTCGAAGGACAGAACTCACCTTTGGTGACTTTTTTTCCTTTTCTGGTTTCTCCCTTCTGCATTCTTTCTATGAAGTCTGCCTATCCCAGCAAGTTCACCAAGATTTTCTCTTGCATTTGCTTCTAGGAGTTTTGAGTTTGGGCTTCTGTATTTAATTTAGTGATCCATGTCAAGTTAGTACACGTTCAGATTCTGACATGCTTGCTTGTTGAATTCTGGCCTGACATTTTAGTGTTGTACAATGTCTGGTTATGGCAAGGAACTTTGCTGCCAGCGTCTTTTGTGCAAGCTGCTGTTCTGGGGTTTGAGGTGTACTTCTGAAAGTACTATCAGATCAAGGCCATTCACTCCTCCAGTCATTGAAACATAATAAAACTACTCAGTGAATAATATACAACAAAATAACCCCTTCAGCTTGGGGTTACAGTAATCATGAGGAGGGGAGAAGCTTCCTTCTGCTGACAGATGACTGTACTGCCTCTCCGGCGTTGACGGCTGGGGCTGGGGCGGGAGGGGGCGGAAGCACGTAGCCATGAGTGTACAGGATGCACAGGGCACCGTCTCCCCTTCATGCAGAGGCGGGGCTGGGGACAGCATGTGGGGCCCCTGTGTGGAGGAAGCCGCTCAGACCAAGGCCTACCTGCCCATGCCCCAGGCTCCTGTGGGACAGCATGAGCCCAGCCTGGCTGTACAGGAGGAGCTGGAGGAACTCCACAGGCAGTTTGTGCTGACCAGGTGGGGAGCTGGGCACTCTGGCACCCAGCCTTGTCCCTAGGGAGGCCCTGGAAAGGCCACTCTAGATGTACTCACTTGTAGAGCAATACAAGGCCTGTCCTTACCCTGGAGTCCAAGTCCCTGGGTGGACCTGCTCTTCAGGTTGCACCCTCCCCTGCAGTGGGGGGCTCTAAGTGAGAAGCCCCAGCATCCTTGCAGCTAGCTGCTGGCCAGCTCTGGAGTCCTCCAGGTCACACACATCCAGGTGCTCCGGGCAGCAGCACAGGCTGTGTGGTCTGACCTTCAGTGTGGAGTGCCGTCCACCATCCTGCCCTGCCCGGCGGCCGCATGGCCTCGGTCCTCAGTCGGCTCTGCTGCTAGGAGCGGGGTGTGAACCCAGAAATGCTGTGAGGTAGGCTGGCCATGGAATGGGCCTAGGCATAGACCTGCAGACAGATGCTGTTGTTTTAACCTTTGTGGTCAGGAGCCACTGGGAACAGAAGGAGCACATTTTCTGCTCCTTTGGAGGAATTCCGGAAGGTTCATAGCATTTCTTTTTTTAATCAGAAAGGACCTCATGGTGCTTGCGGGTCATGATTCTGAAACAAGCTCAGATTTAATATCATTATGAAGCAGAGCAGCCACTCAGCTGGCCCTGCTTGTCTCTGCAGATTCATTCTTGAGCATTTTTATATTTATTTGTTTTCATATTTTATTTGAAAGACAAAGAAACGGAGAAGGACACAGAGAAACAGCGTGATTTTCCGTTTACTGGTTCATCTTCCAAATGCCTGCAACAGCCAGAGTCAGGCCCTGGGGCTCCCAGTGGGGCTGGGGGAACTGAGGGTACATCAGGGCCGGGGGCTCCTGGTGGGGCTCCCACATGGGGGAGTGTGAGGTACATCAGGGGCAGCTGGGTCGGAAGCCATGTGGCTGTGGCCCCGGCACGTCTCTACTGCAGTGTCTGAATGCAGCTGTGCTTTACCTTGTTTTCTTTTGATCTGCCTCTTGGGCACTGATGCCAAGTTTTCTCCGTGTAATTGTTTATTTTCGATGGTGCTGGTATTCTTGGTCCTCTTGTGTGAGACACACCTGGGTGTTACCTGTGCCATCAGCCCTGGCCGCTCCGCAGCAGAGACGAGGTTAGGAGTTAGCAATCGCTTACGCAGGCGTAACTCAGGTCCTGGAGCCGAACCTGCCTGTGATTCCAGCAAACTGTAGCTCCTGCACTTCGCTTTTCTGCAGGCCCAGTGATCAGGAGTGTCCTGGCCATGCCTGGGGAGTCCTTGGTGGGTACAGATCAGGACTGGCTCTCAGCTGCTTTGGACCTGGGAGGAGAATGTGTCTCCTAGTGTGTTCCCTGCAGAGCTCCACACTCAGGAAAACACGCTGGCCTCTGGTCAGGCTGTCGGCTACCCACCATCCCGAGGTCACACACTGGCCTCTGGTCAGGCTGCCGGCTACCCACCATCCCGAGGTCACACACTGGCCCCTGGTCAGGCTGTTGGCTACCCACCATCCTGAGGTTACGGCCCTCAGGCTGCCCTGTCTGATTCTGGGCCTGCTCTCCAGTCCTGCACGTGGCCTGTGACTGCTGTACCAACCGCCCCCGGACTCTCACCCCAACAGCCTGTGGTCAGCATTAGGTACCATGAAGGGAAGGAAGTGGAGTGCTTCTGGAGCCTCACTGTGAGGCGTGCCAGGGAGCTGAGCAGTCCTTAGCAGTAGAGCAGGTGGCTGACAGCCAGCAGGCTGTCAGGATGGATCACGTAGGTCGAAGTTTCCATGGGCCAGGACAGGCACACATGGGGAGGCGAGGAGCCAGGCAGCCCACCAGGGAACTGGTACGAGAGCTCTGAGGGGTTGCTGACCCCTCCTAGCCAACTCTGAGACTCATTCCCCCTCTCCCCCCGCTTCCTGTCCCCCTGCTGGAATCTGCAGGGCTGAGTCAGTGCCCTCCTGTTCTCCCGGCAGACCCTCGCCCCTCTGCTGTTCTGTGCACACAGCCCAGAACTGGCTTCCCGTCCAGGCAAAAATGCAAAATAAGCTGAGGTGTGGAAGTCCTTGGGAGGCCTTCCTGCTGCCTCTGGGCCAGTGCTTTCAGGAGAGGACCGCCCAGGCTAGGGTTCTTCTCCCGCGACAGGCTGTGGGGTCAGGCGGCAGTGAGGAGCAGTGGACAGGTCAGGCGGTGTGGGGTGGAAGGGCAGGGTGTGCCTTTGCCGACACCCGGGAGGCAGCCCAGATTCAAGTGGCTGAGGCGCTGTTCTTTGCCTTCCTCGGCCTTCCCCGGGCCTCTGTGTCCAGGGGTTCACTCCCTCGGGGCCTCCGGCCCCTGCAGGAAAGTCAGAGGGATTCGGTGGCACTGTCTCCGCTTTTCAGGCGCGGAGATGCCGCCGGGTGGGTGCTGTGCGGGGGCGCCCTCCGCCTCCCAGGTCCCTGGATGGTTGAGGCAGCACATCGCAGGTGGGCCCGGCCTTCTGCTGGGATTCCACTGGGGTGTGGGAAAATGGGTTTGTGAGGAGCCCGAGACTCAGGGAGGGGCGAGCCAGGCGCAGAGCCGGCCGGGGTCCTGAGGTCGCGGGGGCCGCGAGGCAGGAAGGCGCGGGCGCCGGGGAGGCCAAGCCGAGGGCGGGAGGCGGGGCGCGCGGGGCGCCGCTGCGGGAGGGAGGCGGCTGCGGGGCGCGCGGGGCGCTGCGCGCGCTCCCGGCCGCGAGGAAGATGGCCCGGGGAGGGAAGTTGGGGTGACGCGCGGGGTCGGCGGGGCTTGGGGCGCCCGACGGAGCGGCGCGCAGGCCGAGGGCGCGCAGCCCGGGCTCGGCGCCGCCCCCGCTGCAGGTGGCTGGGCCGCGCCTGGGCGGCCGGCCAGGCACCCGGGCCGCGGGATGGGCTGCGCCCCCAGCATCCACGTCTCGCAGAGCGGCGTGCTCTATTGCCGCGACTCAGACGCGTCCGGCTCGCCCCGCCAGGCCCCCGACGCCGTGTCACGGAGGCGCGCGCTGGGACCCCCGGGTGCCGCCCGCGTCCAAAAGGCGCGCGCTGAGCTGGGCAGCGGTAGCAGCGCGGGCTCGGCGGCCCACGCCACGACCACTTGCAGGGGCCGGAGGCGCCGCTGTTGCGGCGGCGTGGAGGCCGAGACCCAGACGAGCCGCGCCGGTGTCCAGGTAAGGCTGGTGGGGGCGCGGGCCGGGCGCGGCGGGTTCAGACCTCACTTTGCACTTCTGGTAGTGACGCGAGCCCGGAGCGGAGGGCGCGCGTGGGGAGCAGAGCTGTGGCTTGGGTGGGTTCGAGGAGTGTGTTTCCAGAAGCGTCCGGGCAGAGCTGGCCAGGCACTCCCGGGTACCCCACCCGGCCCAACCCCAGGGCACGGCCGTGTCAGCGCCCAGACCCCGCCGGGTACCACAGCCAGGCCGGGTTGATTTGTGAATGAAGCCGGGTGTGTGTGCTTAAGTACAGGTACAGGAAGAGCACAGCGGGAGACCCGCTGAGCGGAGCCTGGAGTCTGCTATTCCTGCGATCCTTAGGGTTGGCTGCGTGCTGGACGTAGCTGGGAGAGCTGGGCGGCGAACAGGGAGCATCCGCAGAGCCGGTACCAGGGACGCAGCTTCCAGCGCAGCGCAGCTGTGGAAGGGGAGAAGGGCTCAGCGCACGCAGCTGAGCAGGGAGTTTAAGAGGAAGTGAAGGAAGATGGGTGAAGCGTCTGGATGAGTCACTGGATGTTTAGTTATCTCCTGCATGTTCTTAAAGTCCTGCTGGTTTTATTACTGAGCGAGGACACTGACTCTGGATCTGCTGGCTCACTCCCTGAACACCCTCCAGGGCCTGGGCTGGGCCCCTTTGAAGGGAACTCAGTACAGGTGGTCTGCCCTCAGAAGCCGCTGCAGCAGGAGCCCAGCAGGCAGTGGACCCGGGACTTGTGATATGGAACATGTGCGGCTAATGGCGGAATTACTAGCCGAATGTGTGTGTACCCGTTGGGGTACCACGTGGGGGAAGGCTGGGCCGCGAGTGTTGTCCTGTGGCATGCTGCCCTGAGTAGGCCCTGGGGTAAGTGTCCAGCTGCCACATGGTCAAGTTGGAGCATTGTGAGGCAGCATCCCCCAGTGCAGTCTGGGCAGAGCCACAGCTGTGTGGAGTTAGACCCTGGCCTCACAGTTACCAAGGCCTGGGGGCCCTTACCTTCCCTAGGCGAGGATGAGGGCGAGGAAGGCAGCTGCTTGCTGCTCAGGAAAGCCCATGGTTTCCTTGATGCAGCATTGGGCATGCCCAGCATGGTGTGGCAAAAGGTTGATGGTTCCTTTACACGAACAGTTTTTCTTTTTCTTTTTCTTTTTTTTTTTTTTAAATCTGGTGTATAGCCTGAAGCTTCAAAGATGTTTCTTGGTAGTTGTAAAAATCAGTCATTATAAGAGGAAAGGAGTACCTGTTGCATACCTCGGTGTGGAGCTCCTGGGGCGGCTGCGTGGGACACGGTGCTGTGGCCAATGGGCTGCTAGGATGGCTGCGTGGGACACGGTGCTGTGGCCAATGGGCTGCTAGGATGGCTGCGTGGGACACGGTGCTGTGGCCAATGGGCTGCTGGGATGGCTGCGTGGGACACGGTGCTGTGGCCAATGGGCTGCTGAGATGGCTGCGTGGGACACGGTGCTGTGGCCAATGGGCTGCTGGGATGGCTGCATGGGACACGGTGCTGTGGCCAATGGGCTGCTGGGATGGCTGCGTGGGACACGGTGCTGTGGCCAGTGGGCTGCTGGGATGGCTGCGTAGGACACGGTGCTGTGGCCAGTGGGTGCCTGGGGTGTGAGACACGGTGTTGTGGCCAGTGGGCTCCTGGGGTGGCCATGTGGAACATGGTGCTGTGGCCAGTGAGCTCCTGGGGTGGCCGTGTGGGACACGGTGCTGTCCTGTGTCCAGTGGCTTTGACCTTGCTGTCTCCTCACTGGCAGAAGGAGGGACTACGTAGTTCTTTTGGTGCCATCATTAAGTTGGCATGTTGTTTGTAAGTACTGTAGCCTTACTGCTGGGAAGGAAACTCAAAGACCTCAAACAGAAGTTCAAAATGTTGACATCTTGTCAGCTCTGATGTGTTTTTTTTTTTTCTGGTTGCTCAACAGAAATTGCATATTTTTGCTTTTTAGAACAGCAGGGACTTCAGTTTGGTGGCATATCTGTGCTTGTCCGGGGAAAAGCAGAGCAATGAGCAATTCCAGTCTCTCCATTAGTGCTTCCCTCAGGAGGCTACTTAGGAACTGAGTGAAGTAAAAAGCCGGAGACACAGTGTGCTCTAATTGTTAGCATCTGGTATAAACCTGTGTGGGTCTTGGGGCAGCTTGGCCCGAGCCTGAAAGGCTGAGCTGGTGGGACTGTACAACTCCCTTTGTCCCTGATGGACTGGGCTTCATGCAGCCCACTGCTGGCTCAGACTTGGCACTCGCACGGTATGGATCTGAGCGGCCACGGACTTGAGCCTGGACGGGAGCCTGGAGTCAGGAACCCACACCACACTGACTTCTGTCACGGAATCATCTCAGAATGTCTGATGCTCTGCTGTTCGGTTTTGTGATTCTGTTGTTATTTTTCTCAATCTTATTTCCCCCCCCCACCCTTTTTTTTTTTTTTAGTCTTAAAGTTCACATGATCCTTACCCTTTTGCAGATAATTTATGAGAATGTTGGTTTCATTTCTTTTTAGAGCAAGAATTCATCTCTTGCCTTCAGAGTTGGATTGTGAGTCACAGGGCTTCCTCCCCACCCCCCGCTTCCAGAACGCTCTGGAAGCGCGGATCTTGGCGGATGCGCTGTGCACAGCGTTGGCGTGGGGGGTTGTCGCAGTTTCCCCTGCTGTAGCGCAGTTACTCGCTTGGCCTCTGGTGTTCCCCCGAGGACAGGGTATTGTGCTGGCCTCTTTTCTACCAAGAATTCATTTCATTAAGCTTTTAGAATGATGAAGCATTATGATGTCAAACATGATGTCAACAGGAACCTTCCTGAATACCTAATTTGCAAAAACAGAAAAGATGTTGTGTATTAATAATTCATGTGCAGCACACTGCTGTCACAGGCGCTTCCATTTCTGGTAAGAAGGCAGTGCACACACACTTCTAGGCGGTTGCTCTGTCTGCTGTTCACTCCGCTGCAGTAGGAGAGACCCCCAGGAGCCAGCCTCCTGACCCCGGTTCAGCACGTACCGGAGAGGGCCAGGGACGCACACACCTTTGCTCAGGGCAGCTGTCTGGGGGGCACTGCCGGGAGCTGGCCACAGGAGTCTCCAGGATCTTGCCACCCAGAGACTGCTGTGGCTCATCCAGGGGACACTGTTTGCTGCAGTGCCCCCTCCCCTTCACTCCCTGGAGGGTCCCGGTCCTCCTCTCTGGTGGCAGCAGTCTGGTCAGGAGGGTAAGCCTCATGCCGGGGGCTGTGCAACCACAGGTCGCAGCCAGTGCTTCCTGTGGGGTCTGCTGGACGATGTGCATGGTCCCCAGTCCCTGCATCTCAAGGGAAGATGGCAGACAGGTGCTTTTCCTAGCCTTATGGTCAAGCAGTTAAAAGTGGCCATGCAGGAAGGGTGGAACCGTTGGGCCTTGTTTCTAAGTCAGTGTTTCTAGACTCCACTGTCTACCAGTGTCACCTGTAGAAATCAACATGGATCGCTGCACTCTGCCTCCATTTCTGATTTTGGAGCCCTTGGGTGGGGCATGAGAAGTGAGCATCCAGCACCCTGGCAGGAGGTGCCAGTGTTGTTGACACAAGGCCAAGCTAGCGCTGGGAGGACCACCACTTTGCAGAGAGCCAGGCTGTCTGATGATTGCTCACGTTGGATGGGACCGCCTCTGGCAGAGCAGGATGCGTCACTTGCTGGGGTTTGGTGCCAGCCCTGTCTTTGTCTCAGCGTGGTTTGTGTGGCGCATTGGCCACCTCCCTGTGCATGGAGTCCAGCTCTGAGTCTGCGGGTGGAGGAAGTGCTGGACCAGGAAATCCATCCAGACCTTGGAGGTCCACTTCCCCACAGCATCTTTCGGGCTTGCAAAGGTGCTGGTCTCTGGAGCTGCCTCTGTCCTGCACTGCGGCTCCTGCTTTCTCACTGGGCTCATCGGCAAAGGCTAAGGAGCAGGTACAGCTCCCAGGGCACCTGCTTGGCTCTGATTGAACACCTGCCGGCAACAGTATAGTACAGCATTGACAGACCCGTGCCAGGGCGCCTTCCCCTCATAGGGGAACGCTGTCCTGTGATCTCAGTGGGTAGTAGGGGAGCAGTTACCAGAAGCTGGGGTGCGGGAGGGGTGCAGCTGGGCAGGTGGAAGGACTTGATGACGTTTGGTGGCACATGAGGGTGGTCCTGGTGACAGCAGTTAGAGAGCATTGCAGACAGCCTGTAGAGAGGATTTTGATGTTGGTGACTAGGGATGCTGTGTGGGGTGACAGCAGTGTCTACTCCCTGATGGGGTTGTGATTCAAGTGTCACCCTGCACCCTTACTTTGCATCAGGTAGAGGGGCTTGGGTAAAGCACCCACCTCGAGGGTGCATGCAGTGAGCTGGAGTCAGCGTGAGTGGCACTCAGTGGTGTTGCCTGTATGCATGACGGAGCAGGTGCCAGTAGCATTTGTCACTTTGCTGAAGTTCAGACCGCACAGCGGTAGGGAAGACAGTGGAGTGGAACATCCCGGGCAGAGCCCCCGTGGCCCCAGCAGCCATACTACCTGCTGGGCCCCTGCCCTGGGAGTTCCCTCAAGCTAAAATAGAGCTTCGTGCTATTCGGACACAACCATAGTCGTGGCCGCAGACCTCCAGGGAGATGCCTTGTCCAGTGGCCTCAGTGCCAAGCTGGCACTCGGATTTCCCCAGTGGGCTTGTTTCCCCAAGACCTGTCATCAGGTGAGTCCCGCACACTGCTGTTAGTTGATGTGTCTCCCTGGGCATTCGTGAGCACCCAGGGCACAGTTTGCACCTCTTCAGCATCACTTGACTGCTCTGTGGGCTAGGTCACTTTAGAAACACAGCACATGGGTGTGTTAGAGAGCACCTGTCTGCTGGTTCACAGCTCACATGCCCAACAGGAGGCACCAGGGAGGGGCTCTGGGCATGGACAGGGCTGCAGACGGTGGCCGTGTCCCTGTGTCCCCTGGTGGCAGCCTGGTGTCTCCATGACCCAGGGTGTGTAGGGCAG